TATTTTGTTTTTCACGGCGCTTTTGAAAACTACTGGGAAATTTGTACTTTTGACCCCCAAAGCTCTAACTATATTCACTTTCCTATCAGAAAAGCTATACTGTTGAAGAAAATCCGAGCACTTTTACTATCCTAAAACGTGAGACAGACACAAAAAAAAATTAAAAATTAAAAAAAACACACATCATTGTAAAATCTATACATTCACCGTTCCACTCAGAATCTAAAATATATTACAGTATGAAAACCTAAAAAATTTATATTAAATAATAATTCATAATATTATAATCTATATGATATTGTGATATAATAATATAATATAGTTATTAAATCTTAAATATAAGTAATACTGTAATAGTTAAATAGTAATATTGATAAACGGGTAAAAGTAAACCACCGATACACTACCACGAAAACACCAATTGGTTAAACCACTCTTATAGATACAATTTATATCTAGTAGATATGAACATTCTACAGACTACTAGAAAAAGCCGTGGTTCCTATGCGTAAATTATTATAAATACTAATAATTAATAATATTATATTATATGAGAAAATATAACCTATATAGGCATATAGTCATAACCCATAATGTCATGAATCATGATTAAGGAACAGTTTTTGGAATTTTAGAATGAAAAAAATAATAATAACTAGTTAGTTTTTTTTTCTAACGAGTTAGATTAGACTATTTTACACATTAAATTCATTTAGTTAAGTTACAAAGTTAATATGAATTAAAACTAACTAGTTAGAGCCCAGCTTTGATAATAAATAATATGCCTGGTGACTGGTGTTTATTTTATCAAAATGTTTTGTCTTGTGCACTCATTCCTGTTAAATGACGAATTCAGAATTTATTTTTGTAAAATGTATAAGTGATAAGCCCTTTCATATTAAAGCTTGAAATTATTACAGGTTACTCTTCTGAGACAATGCTTATACAAAATTTCAAGCTTTTCCGACTATTATTTAATAATGTAAATATTAATCAATCCTTAAGTTCGTCAACTTACCACACTCTCCCCTATTGACTAATTTACGAGTAACCTTTTTTAGATTCTGAGCGGAGCGATGAATGTATTGGTTTTACAATGATGTATGTTTTTATATTTTTATATTTTTTTTTTTGTGTGTCTGTCATCACGTTTTAGGACAGTAAAAGTGCTTGGATTTTCTTCATCAGTAGCTTTTCTGATAGGAAAGTGAATCTAGTTGGTACTTTGGGGGGTCAAAAGTATTAATTTCCCAGTAGTTTTCACAAGCGCCGGGAAAAACAACATAAAAATTAAGGAAAAACGGGAATTTTTACGCAAAATTGGTTTTCCAAAAAATCGATTTTGGTTATTGGTGTAACTCTAAAACAAATGAACGTATATACATGAAATTTTCACTGGTTGTTTATATTTGCATTTTCTATACACGATAACATTTTCAAAATATTTTGATTTATTTTGAACTGTTTAGGGACATTTTCATTTTCCATTTTTTTTAGTTTTTTTTCTAAAAATATCAATAACATTTTATTCGTTGGTTGCAAAAGCTTGAAAATTTAAGAGAAGGCTCCTAATATATTGTTTCAAAGGCAGATGAAAAATATTAAAAATCCTTAGTCACAATTTTTTTTTATAAGCATTTAAAGTTCAAAAATTGACAAAATATTGAAAAATCACGAAAATTAGCAAATTATTTTGAGTTAAGAATTCGTAAATCTAAGATTTGAAAATGAAACACAAGATTCCTTATAAGATTTTCTACCTTTATCAATAAAAAAATCTCTACCGGACAGTCAAATTAAATTTTTATGAGCGTTTGAAATTCAAATTTTTACAACATTGGATTTTCACTCGATTACTCATGTAGCGATTTCCTTATTTTGTTGCAATTCAAAAACGAACAACTGTAGATACATGAAAATTTCACTGAATGTTTAAATTAGCATTTTCTATACACCATACAATTTTGAAAATATTTTGACTCTTTTTGAGCTGTTTATGGACATTTACAGCTTTCAATTTTTTTTAGTTTTTTTTTCTACAATTATCAATAAAGTTTTATCTGTTGGGCCAAAAAGTGTAAAAATTTAATACAAGGCTCCTGATATATTGTTACAATAGCAGTTGAAAAATATTAAAAATACATAGGCACAGTTTTTTTTTATAAGCATTTAAAGATCAAATTTTGACAAAATTTATCAAAATCTCGAAAATTATCAATCATTGTAATTAATAAATTATAAAATGTTCAGTTTTTATAGCTAAGGATTACAAATTCAACACAAAGGTTCTCATAAATATTTCATACTATAACCAAAAAATCTAAAAAATATATGAACACACTTATTTTTTACAGACATTTTAAATTCAAATTTGGACGAAATTACATATTAAAAAACCTAGAATAACTATTTTAGTTATTTTGTTGTGATTGAATAATATTATTCGTGGGTACTTGAAACTTCTAAAGTGTACTATTATATATCTATGATAGTATCACGGTTTTTGTTGATGTATAACGCATTATAAGTACTTATTGGATATTGTGATATGATTATTTTTTAATTTATTATAGGTACCTATTATAGGTCAATATTTTTTTAAATACCATAGATATGTATATATATATCTTAAACCTAGACTGACATACCGTCACCGCTCAGAATCGTTTTTCTTATACAATGATATTATATCATTGAATTCAAATGTAATACCATCCATTATACAGTGACCCACTTGTAACCTACTGTACAGCAGAGCGACACCCACTTGCCCACCTTTTTTAAATTTTCAATCCTTATTAGCTATAAAAGTTGAGCATTTTATACTTTTTGAATTACAAAATAATTTTAGATTCTAAACGGAGCGATGAATGTATTATTTAATATTTTTACTGCTATTGTAACAATGCATCGGGGCCTTGTATTAAATGTTCAAGTATTTTGACCCAACGCATACAATTTTGAACCAAAATTGATTTTCTATAATATAATATAATATACTTCTTCCTGCTTTTCCCCCTTTATAAATAAATAGGAACGCTATGCCTCATTAAAACATAATTTTTTTAATTTTTATTGTTATGTACAAGCCAACAAACATTTTTTTTCTAAACAATATTGTAAAAATAAAAAATCTCTTTACGGACATTTTCAGTTTTCAATTTTTTTAGTTTTTTTTTCCACGAATGTCTATACGATTTTAATAGTAGTGCAAAAAATCTTGAAAATTTAATACGAGGCTCCTAATAAATTGTTTCAGAGGCAGATGAAAAATAATAAAAATTCGTAATCACAATTTTTTTTATAAGTATTTAAAGTTCTAATATTGACAAAATACGTATAAATGACGAAAATTTGCAAATTATTTTGAGTTAAAAATTAATAAAAACTTTTCTTTTTGAACTTAAGATATTAAAATGTAATAATTATTTAAATAAAATAATATTTCTCATAAGTTATTCTATTCTACCTTTATCAGGCATAAAAACCAAGTCAAAATAAATTATTATGAACGTTTGAAGTTCACAAATCACAACATTGGATATTCACTCGATTTCTCATGTAGCGATTTTCTTATTTTGTTGTAATTCAAAATCCAATAACTGTAGATGAATTAAAATTTCACTGAAATTTTATATTTAAATTTAAATTGTTAAGTTTTTTTTTCTATAAATATCCATAAAAATTTATTTGGTGGGCCAAAAAGTGTAAAATTTAATACAATGCTCCTGATATATTGTTACAATAGCAGTTAAAAAATATTAAAAATGCATAGGCACAATTTTTTTTATAAGCAATTAAAGTTCAAATTTATCAAAATCTGGAAAATTATTAATCATAGTAATTAAACAATTATAAAATGTTCAGTTTTTATCACTAAAAATTTAAAACAAAGATTCTCATAAATATTTCATACCATTAACCAAAAAATCTAAAAAGTATATAAACACAGTTACTATTTACAGACATATTAAATTCATATTTGGATGAAATTACATATTAAAACCAAGAATAATACGATTTTAGTTATTTTGTTGTAATTTAAAAATATTATTTGATGATATATGAAACTTTTAGAATACTTATATTGGTATATTTTATATGCACTCAATGACTATAATATAATGACGTGTATCTAGTAAATCGCGGACATTTCCCCTCCTACTGTTTTCCGTGTAGTAGGACATTGCCCCCCCCCCCCCCCCCGATATATTGTTGATGTCTGATGAGGACATTTTCCTCCCATTTTTTTTTTTTAAGTTTACTATTTATTAATATAATATTATTTAATATGAATACATTTATGCCTATTTAATATTTTCAAAATTATTTCAGAATTCAAATGTTTTTTACAAAATGTATCATTTTTATGTCGGAATTTTTTACCATTTTAATTATTTATTAATTTTATTTTACTTCATACCTACTTATTTTTTATTTATTTTTTTATTGTTATTGTTTCATGAAGTAGTTCAGTTGATCAAATATATATTTATAATCTAATATATTTATGAAAATAAAAACAACTTTATATATTTTATATTTTATTTTAAAAAAAAATTTCATATTAATAATAAATTATATCAGATATTATATTATTCAAATATTTAATTCAATAATTAACTTTAAAAAAAAATGGGGGGGAAATGTCCTACTAGACCGAAAACAGTCGGGGTTGGAGGGGAAATGTCCATTTACTGAACCTAGTACCTACCTATATTATATTCTTTAATCATGATTTTAATAAATAAAATAACTGTAGTATGACAAATGATGAGAAGACAAGAATTAGTAAGTTTATTGGTTACACTATTTAGTATTTACCAACTACAAACCACTGAATCACATTTTGGTAATTTTGTAGGTAAACAACACAATAGTTACCTACTTTTTTTCCTTAGTGTGAATGACTCATTCATTTTTTTTACAGAAATTTACAATTTTGAATTTTCAACTACTACACTACCGCTCAAAAATCTCAGCAAAGCAAACAGCTTATAATGGAATTGGCATCTGAAGACGGCTTCATCATCGATCCATTTTTACAAGTCAAAATGCAACTATCTCAACTTTCACTGACAACTGAGGACATAGCCATTGCAACAGAAAATGACCCGAGGTTGAAAAAGTTGCGCAAAAGCATACTTCGAGATTCAAACAAATATTATAATTGGTATTGGATAAATGATGGATGCATTCTATTTGGCACAAGGATTTGGATTCCAAAAAAGTTACAAAAATATGTTTTAGAATATTTACATATAGAACATGTAGGTGTAATTAAGATAATAGCATTAGCACTTTCATATTGTGTCTTCTGGCCAAGTATTGATGAAGACATTGAAAATCTTGCAAGAAATTGTCCTCAATGCATCGAAAAACAACATGCACCATTTAAAGAAATTGTGTATAATTGGGTGGCTCCCGAGAAACCCTGGAAAAGAATACATATTGATTATGCTGGTCCATTTATGAACAATTGGTTTTTATTGGTTGTTGATGAATATTCTATGTGGCCAGAAGTTTTTATCTCAAATTCTTCATCTGCATCGAACACTATTGAAAAGTTAAAATTTTTGTTTTCTAGATTTGGTGAACCCAGAGTTCTTGTTAGTGATAATATATCCTCGTTTATGGAAGAAGAATTTCAGACTTTTTTGGAACGTTTAGGTATACTACATTGTACGCGTGTTCCTTTCAATGTAATATCATATGACAATGCGGTACGATTTATATTCGCCTTGAAACATGCGCTTATAGAACTTAAAGGTCCGGTCAATTCTGTACAAGATAAACTGAATACAGTATTGTTCACGTGCAGAGGTTCACAGATCACATTTACTATGGAGAGTCCAGCAAATTTGTTTTTAGGACGAGATTTAAGATCTAACCTGAACTTACTCAAATCAGAGAAACATAAGAAAATAAATATGCAAAATGCAACTCCATCTAAATTATTCCACTTTGGTCAAAAAGTAGTTATACCTAATAATGTAAATGGATTTATAATTAGTGCAGATACCTCAAAATATGTGATAGTTATGGCGAATGGAAAATTGACTCGCCATATTATTTACGAAGTGATTCCTTTCCCAGTCATTAAGTCATTTTCAAAGATTCAACCAGAAACACAACCAGTCAGACCTCAGAGGCGAAAGAGATTAATCAAACCGATAAAACGTTTAAATTTATAATTTATAAGTAGGATTAGGATGTTTTATGACTTTTTCATATTTTTTCTTTTAGTTGTGCATGTGCACATTGCAGACCAAGTTATAAATAAATTTTTTATGGCAAAGAATCATTGGTATACATTAAATTTTATTTTCCATATTTTGATATATAAATTAAAAAATCAATAAATATACATATTTTAAATCAGAAAAACTAAAAACCAAATTATATAATATTATATAAGTACATCGGTAAGCATAGTTGGTTTTACCACGGAATAGATTAAATTTAATCTATTCTGCGGTTTTACTGCTAACTTAAATGAGAAAATTTGAAAAATGTAGTTTTTAATATCTTTATCTTTACTTATTAGTTATCTTTACTGGTATGCATTGATGCTTTGATTATGTTCATACACATACACAATTAATGATAGTTTACGGCTCATGTTATATACCTACTTGATTGTAAAATTTTTTACTACACTTACATTTTTACATTATTTTAAATTAATCATTTTATGTCCCTCAAGGTGCGGTTGCAGCTCCATTGTTATTCAATCTATTCACTTCTGACCAACCTACTACTGCTTACACTACTACTGGGGACTTTGCCGACGATAAGGCACTCTTGGCTCTCCACTCAAACTCTTAAACGGCCTCAAACTTCATCCAAAACCACCTGAATCTCCTATCAATATGGTATAAAGATTGGTTGATCAAAGTTAACGAAACCAAATCCGTCCACTGTACGTTCACGCTTTGGCAAGGTGTTTGCCCTCCTGTGTACCTTAATTTCCTTCCGCTTCCATCTGCCCAAAACGTTCGCTACCTATAGTCCGTTCAAAATAAGAAACGTAGACGGCGGCCGACTTCTGCGCATGGGCGTGGCCTCACTACGCCTATCGAGCTTTTACACCGTCGCCGGCGAGAGCGTCGCCTCATTCTATTGTTGACCAGTGATGCGAACAAATAACTTAAAATGTATTGAACCGGCACGGCGCTGCGTTGGGCTGTATTCACCGTACGTCAGCGCAGCATACAACCTTTTTTTATTATTATAAAACCATTTTTTTAAACTAAATTTTTTTTCGAGTTATTACCAGGTATATTACGTAAAAACATAAAATATAAAAACAAATTTAAACATAAAAATTATTTATTACAATACATAAAAAGATAAACAGAAATTAAAAAAAAAGTCAATAGGTAATAAAAAAAAAATATAAAAAATTTAAAAAAAAATTACTCATAATCAGAATCAGTTTCTCCCGTTATTGTTAAAACACAATGTTCCATTTGGTCAATTACTTCGTCCATGATATCGTCGACTTTCCAAATTTTCTCTTCTTCTCCGATGACATGTTTGATGAAATTTTGCCAATTTTCTGATGTCACCCTTTCAATATTAACTTATATGAATAACTGATGTATAATACCTAATTATTTAATAAACATAATAACACATTAAACTATTATTATTATTTATGTAACATACATCGACGAATATAAAATATTAAAAATGTTCTACTTACTTTTCCTTTTGGATTTTTTCTCTTTGGAGAAATAGTAGACAATTCATCTGGATCAGAAATATCACCAAAATCACTCATGATGAAAAAAAAATCTCTGTAGGAATAAAATTGTGAACACACGTTACGCTAAGCACGGTCGGAACACAATGAGACCGAATTCCACAACGAACGCTAATACATCGACAACGATCGTATATCAGCGGCCGTCGTCGGTAAAATAGACGCACGGTGGGAGAAACATCTGTCCGCCGCCGTCGAAAACTGGTCGCCGCCGTCTACGTTTCTTATTTTGAACGGACTATAGGTCTTCACCTAGACCGCCGGCTAACCTGGGCAACGCATATCCACACAAAACGGCTTGCTCTAAATGAATGAACTCGTCAATTACACTTTCTCTTAACATCTAAACCTTAAAAATAAACTTCTCTAATACAAATTACTCCTCGAACCAATATGGACATATGGCATCCAATTATGGGGTGCTGCCAAACCCTCTAATAATAATAAAATTCAATCTTTTCAATCCAAATGCCTAAAGCCCCATTTTACATCTCTAATGATACTCTCCATAAAGATCCATCCATCCAAACAGTAAAAAACATTGCTAAGTCTTTTTACAAACGCATGCACGCTAATCTCCACAATCACCGCAACCCCTTGATCTCGGAACTATCCACCCCCACTATACCTGGTGACCCTAGAAGGCGACTAAAATGAACGTGGTGTCGGGATTTACTTTTAGACTAACCTCCACTACCACAACCATCACATGTCACGAAGTCCCATCAATGAATTCCCTGTCTGAATTTATGTAAATAATTGTAATTATCAATCTGTTTGTTACATTACCCTATTATTTTGTCATTTCTATACTTATTCTTTTATCACTTGTGCTTATTGTAAACCATTATATTACAGATTGTACAATTGTCTAGTTTAAAAAAAAAAAATCATTTTATACTATTGTAATAAATATATTTTTAGTATTAAATATGTATATTCATTACACACATAACAAGTACCAACATTTAAAAATATAGGTAGGTACTAATATATTGTGTATATTCGCATATTTTATTAATGGCCAATGGATTTAGACTATTATTATTAGTGTTAATAACAACTTACCAGTTTTCAGTAATGAAGCCCGGGCAAGTTGTTAAAGCCCTTATAGTAAATATTAGCATTTTTCTTGATGAAAGTTATTTAATTTGTTTCTATTTTTGAATTGTGTATGAATAAGGAATGTACAGTGGCGTGGTGAACAGTAATTTCAGAGGCAATTGCCTCTGAGATTTTTCTTAAATAGAGAGGTGGGTGGTAGCCAGTGGGTCCCCTAGTAAATGCAATTTGATAAACTCATTAGGTTGTCAATAATGATCTGAAATATAATTAGTCATATTATTTTAATACACTATTATGCATTATTACTTGAGATATTTGTAACTTGCCTCTGGAAAATGTTAATTTCGCCACGCCACTGTATATGGTCAAGTGTACAGTTATTGGCACTATTAAATCTTATTATAAGAAAATAACTTAATTATCAAACCTTTTACTGATTACAATTATGGATACCTATTTATATCAAAAACTAGAACATGCATAGAAACCCATGTTTGATTAATTATAACATAGGTATTTCATTTTTAAATTATAGTTATTGTCACCTATTTACAATTTTGTATACTCAAATTTCAAAATACCTATTTAGAACTTCAAATATTTAAATAATGCTGTCACATATTACATTGAAAGTTATCTTGAACATTTACAACTAACCATATTAGTTACTCTAATTAAAAATATTGCACTAGATACTTATTCTATAAATTTTCAATGCTTAAGAATAAGTAAATAAGTATTGCTTAAGGTATACTCAGGGGTTAAAGTTGTGGGGGGGGGCGCAGAAGGACTCAGTCCCCCTACCTCTGACGGAGGTTAAAAAGTTTCCCCTTTAACAAATTAGGATTTTATACATTAGACATTAATACATTATACATACAATTATATAGGAACGCTTAAAACTATATGGAGACATTAGTCCCCTGGAATTTTTTCCCACTTTAACCCCTGGCTATACTTATGAATCAAATGAGATTCATAAACGAGATTTTGGCTTAAGAAAATAAAAAGTATTATTTAAATTAAGGTTGGTCGATACCTACCTTAAGCAGACTTATTAAACAGAATATTAATTCTAGTTTTTAACTCTCGCAGACTGTACAAATAAATAATACATTAATATCAAGACTTATAAATAATATATGGGTGGCTGCTTTGACTAATGCACTGTTTATGATATTTGTCATTATAAAATTACAAAATTAACATTCATATAATACATTTTTTTTTTTTCAATATAATCTTTTCATTTAAGACTTTAGTATCTCACTCATATTTTTTTTTTTTTAGCTTCCAGCATAAACCATTTTAGCTCAACAATAAATTAGATTATTTATTAAGGGTCCTCCATACTACTGAATTCTAAAGGAACATTTTATAGGCAACTTCTTATACATTTGGCAATCAGCCTTGCCATTGTATTGGTCGTAAATTATTGTTAGTAGTAGCATTGATTATAAATGCATTTCTAAAGCTTAATATAGTGCAAAACATAATAAAGATATTCCTAAAAATGTATGACACACAATAATATTAATATACGGCCAAAAAAATCAATGATTTATCGCATACCAGTTACGATAAGTACACATAAAATCACTATAACTATATTTTTTACTTTAATATTGTCATCATTGATAATTGGAACATAATTAACTGATTAAGACTGAACAATTAAATCTACAATCTTAATGTATAAACTATACATCAATAATAAATATATTATCTATAATATGTTAAAACACTATTAAATACTATAAATGTTGACAGGATAGTAAAGTAAAATATTATATAATAGTTTTGTCGTTGAATGGATGCTGAAAATCACCCAATCTGGGTAGCCAGGATCGAGTACAAAAAATACAACATATAATTAGGTACATCCAATGGTAAAAAATAATTATAATATTTATAATCGAAATTGTCTTAATCACTAGCTGTGAAAAAAATGTATGCACTTTCGACAACTGACGATTGAGAACACAAAATAATAGGAACAATACAACTAAGGAACTTACGTCAAAATTGGTAACAGAATTAATATTGGTAACAGCTGAGTGGTCAATGAGCAAAACTAAATATTTTAAAAGAAGAATTGTAGTATTGTATTAAATGTTGTGTTATATTTGGTTGTGAATGTGGAAATCAGTAGACTTCGTATAGGGAATTGGTCGCAATGTATCTTTCCATTTTGAAAGTGAGATAGTAAGTACAGTGTTTAGAAATGTACGTGCCGTAATCATAAAGATTAGTGATGGCCGGGTTGACCACGTGAAAGTGACTGAGAATGTCGTTAATGTTGTCCAAAGAATAGTGTCCTGGTGACAATTCAAGCAACGTATTGCACAGGGACTCCCGTGGCTCAAAAGAATTGTGAAGCAGCTGCATAACGTAACAGCGTTGGCTATCAAAGTCAACGATGCCAGTAATGTTGACGCTAGAGTCAATCACAAGCAAGAACCGGGCCGACTTGATGGTGTACAGTGACGCCTTTCTAATGACTCCCTCCACGGGGTCGATGTTTTTGGAACTCGGTGGTGCAGAGTCTGGCAAAAAAAGCGTGTCGCTCTCAGCAAATGCATACGACGGGTAACATGTAAAAACCATTTCGGAGTTGTCCTCGGTATCCTGTAGAACCACTGGCATGCCCTGAAAGTTATGAGCTAATTGTAGCGTGCAGAAGGTTGCAAATAATGCCAGTAAAATCATAAACCCACATATTCTTAACAACGTTGTTTCAGTGATCAAGTCGTCCAAAAGTTGCATGCACATGCGCTCGTCGTCATTGTCGTTTGTAGAGTTCGGCAAACCATCGTCCCCAGTCTTCAACAACTCGGGCTTATACGGCGGCGGAGGCTGGGTCTGACCATGGCGGAATTCGACACTGATCAACGATACTTTACCCGACTTTCCGTCGAACGACGAACACGTTAGAATAGTCATCCTAGGAACCAAACGGTGAAGCGGTTTCTTCTCTTGTGAATTATCAAACCGAACGGTAAAGTCCAGTAACGACGGTTCGCGGGTCACGACGAGCCACTGTGCGTCTGCTCACTGTGGTCTGAGCACGGTTTTTGCGTCGTCTAGCATGGTGGCACAACGGGCGCGGGCGCGTAGCCCAGACACCCTAACATCCCCCGGGGGGGTGGCGAACGGAACAGTCCGCTACTGCGCCACAGGAATATGGTGACGGGCCTTATCGATTAGTCGACCGATGATTGACCACACAGCTGCAATATATAATTTAGTTATGTATTTCTGACTTTCTGTAGGATATACGACAAGGAGAGACAAAAATTCTTATTATCCGATAAGCTTATTAATCTAGTTAATCAATTCTGAACCTGAGAACGTCTCAAACTTTCTATCAAAAACTCAACCAGTGGCGCCCAACCCTATTACTAGATGTAGCGGTCGCTACACCTTGAAAATAAGGGGTAGGTATAATAACATAAAATAATTAGGTAACTTGAAATATTTTCATTATTAATCACAGATTATATTAGTTGATACCTTAATATTTACTAATATTATCATTAAAGTATGATAAAATGTATAAAATAATATAATTTTGAGTTCGTGAGGGGGTGGGTGGGTGGATAAAATTATTTCTTGCTACACCTGAAAAATATATCTTGGGCGCCACTGAACTCAACTACCTAATCAATAAATTGTAATGCTTTTCTGCATATTATATAGCAATATAATGTCAGGACCCATATAATAACTATCTACTATTATTTACTATTATATGTTACCTAATACGTCATAATATTTAAATTTACTGTTTTTTATTATTGTTAGATATAACATCTACTTCAAAACGCCAACAATTTTTATTGTCATTAATTGATCAATAAATTGAGTAGTGAAATATTACGTGTACGTCCAATCATAGATAATATAAGAATGGATAGGACATGCCTATATGGCTATACCAGTTTCATATTGGGTCCGTGTGCTTTTTTGGTGAAGAGAGAACGTCGATATGGGGCTTTTTTTAAGTTTATGTCCAAAAACTGTTTACAATATTTGTCAATTTCAAATTTGTATTTTGATTGTTGTGCCTGAAAATTGAAATTGGAATACTCAGATTACTATATTTAACTTTGCGTACATAATTAATTATAATTAGAATATAGAATAATATAGATCGTTAATTAATCATTAATGTTATTTATTATCATTTATCAATTATTAAATCAATATTTTCCCCATATACAGTTGCGAAGTTGACGGATATAATAAAATGTTTAAAATAGGTATGCCATAGGGGCGTTGAGCAGTAGAGAAATTAAATAAATAAAAATAAAAATTATGATTTGCGATTTCTGGAAAACTGGGAAATATGGCCAAGAATTACGATATTACTATATTAGCATTTTTTATTGTTCTGTGATATTAGTTACTATAATATAGTTAGGTATAATAATACCGCTTGGGAAGTTGGTGGCTAACACGATTAAAGATTTACCCGTTGCGCCGAGAGAGCGCAAGTCGGCGGCGACCAACACTCGTCGTAGTCCGCGCATCTCCCACCAACGCGACTCCCACGTGACCATACACGTGACTCCCACTGTCAAATGACAAAATTCGATAACAGACGATAGCGCTCGGTGGTTTACGACGGCGTACGACCAGTCGACTTGGTGGGAGAAATTAGACCTCGAAGGCAACGGAAACAAAGGAGCGACTTGCCGACTTCATTTAGTTCATTTGGATGCGCCGATGCGCGGCCGACTTACGCTCTCTCGGCGCAACGGGTTTTTTTTTTATACTACCTTGTACCTACTATCTTTAATCGTGGTGGCAAATATGATAATACTAGGTAATAGCATATGGTAATAATTATTATTAGTTATTAGCAGGGCTCGTAAGTTCATGCTAACTGAGATACAAATCCGTTTCATAACAATAGTAATAATAATATGAACATAAGGGGTCGGACACTTTGATAATATTATCGAATTAAGGCGGCCATGTTTTTGGAGGAAACTGTTATCATATTTGTAAATTTGTTTACAATTTAGTGATAATAAAACATTTCTAACAGATTACACATCTTTCCACCAGACCATAGAGTATACTCTATGCTTGGAAATTGGAATAAACAACAAATAACATTTATCACTGGCCGCGCCACAACCCATTCCCATAGATAAAGTGACAAATGACAATACAGAAAACAACTAACACAGCCACACAGGGCGCAGACCGCGGTACCGGCGAGCGTAGCGTAAACACTATGCAGAAATTCAATTATGGCAGTTACTTTAGTATTCTTGTCTATGGTTATGCAATATGCACAATGCAGTATGCACTGCTGCAAGTTGCAACACACTAATATTGTCACATGAATATTTAATATTAATACACCATTACACAAGATATTCGGATCAAATACTGAACTTGAGACCTACACGGCTACACACCATATGGCTATATAGTATATATACCTACATGTTTATTATAATTTTAAGTTTTAAAAGTTAATAATTACACGACTGTTATACGTAATCACGTGCCTAAGTTAATTGTTTGGAGAGCTGCATAACAAAACGTGTAAGTACATAATATTGTATACTATAATAATGATCTTAATATATAATATGGTTTTAAGTAAATATTGTACATGTGTACATACCTATAAAATGCCTACCAATTATTACCTAGATGGGTGTTTTTGATAAAAAAATTAAATTAATTTGTTGACAGTGATAAAATAACTAATCATAAGTGTGACTTTTCGCTAGTCGCTCTACGCTTATAAAAAATATATTACATATTATATTATGACAATGACTCACACCAGTCACACCTAACTAATTACTAAATAAATATATTCAGTAGGTACCTATCTAATTTATTATTTTTATTTAATTTATTTTGTTACAGTTTGTTTGATGGATAGAATGCTGTAATAATCATCAATATTAGAGAAGTAATGAATAATATTTTTTAACGCTATATTGATGCAATGAAGTTCCTTAATCCTTACTAAATGAAAATAAACACTACCAGGGTAAGTAATTTAAATTAAATATTTATAATTGTTGTTTAGATTAATCACATTTTAATTTAGATTTGTTTGAATATGAGTTTGTTGGTCAAAACACTTAAATACCGAAAATAATTGTGCAGCATCTGATAGTTGCTTTTGGTGAAGTGGATTGGATTAATGCTCACAATATTTATGTTGGATACATAATGACAATACAAAATAGTATAGTAAGTTTATATATAGACTATATTATATTTATGTTTAAGAGTTAAGCATTATAAATTAGCCATAACTACAATTTAACCTGTTACAGTGTGTAGTGTCCTAAGCTTGTACCTAATAATAACTAGATAAATACATTCAATATTATCTTCACAATTTGGAGGCAACAAAAGAAATTAATGTTCTATTAACAATTTCTATTTTTGAGTAGAAGGTTTTTAGTATTTTGTATTTTAAAATTACTTTACTACTACCAAAATATATTGTAAAAATAAATAAATATCTATAAGTTTAGTTATTTAGATTCAAATCGTGCAAACTGCACTATGGATTGAAATTATAAGTATTAATCTGAATGTTGTTGTTATTGTTCATTAACTGTATGGTGTAGTCACCACCCATGGCCACCTTAAGATTTTTTTCTGTTGATTTATTCAATTTATTTATTTAATTTATTCTATATATTCTTTAGATTAATACCTACATAACTGTGATAAATAATACAAGTAGATTAATGAAATTATTAAATGCAAACAAATATGACAGAAACTTTTATTAAAAAAACAAATTACGTAATCTGAATAAATATATAAATAAAATCAACAACTTTTTAACAATATTATAAAATTAATAATCAACACTTGGTAATATTTAAGAGATAGATCTATGGGTTTTAAAATAAATAGAGTTTCATCAATACCACCTATATGGCTATATAAATTCAGAAGTACACATTTTTAATTCTTAAAGATTTTGTTAAGCGATGAATGAAAAAGTGACAAACAAGATATTGAAAAATATTATAACAATGTTCTCAACTGTTTTTTTTTAATACTTTTTATCACCCATTTAATACATTGGTGTTGATGAATACAACAATAACCATAGTGTCAAAAAAACTAAAAAATTACACTATTTTCAAATAAAATATAAATGACTGACCATAGAAGGGGTAGTGGCTATAGGTGCCGACTCCACCATACAAAAATAATATTATACTTTGGTATAAGTTCTCAGAACTTCTGAAACAAACGATAATTATTAATTAGTATAAGTTATAAGTATTAGCTATAAGTGTGTGACTCTGTATGGTGAAGATTTTCGTAAATTTCAAAACAACACCTGGTTAAATGGAACTGTGATTGACGCACTGCTATTGACTTATGTGAATGATGAAATTGGTTATATTCTTGCGGAAATAAGCAATACAATTTGGTCAAGTACCAAAGTTAAAATAGCCAAATTTGATTGGACTAAATACTGTGTGTTATTTCTACCTATCAATCCTGAAGGTAATCATTGGACTTTATTTATTATGGACTTCATTTTGGGTTGTGTATTTTACTTGGATCCTCCAGAATCAGGTGACTTGTACTTACCTCGATTAAAAAAAATGATGTTTTCAATGTGTGGTAATGAAAAAGCAAAATATTTGCTGCATAAAATGGTTCTTAAAAATATTGAGTATCCTTTACAGAATGATAGTAACAGTTGTGGAGTTTTTGTGTTGTATTATTGTAGAACATACAATCCAATGTTTACTCAGAGCTTTTCAAAGGAAGTTATTGTGAGTGATTTAAGAAATACATTGCAGCATCGATGTTTAATGTACTCTGATAATATCAGTGAAAGATGCCTTATGTGTGCACAAAATATAAAAGTAAGTTTTACTTGGATTAAGTGCTTTACATGTGAGCGAAGAGTTCTTAATGTGTGTGTAGGTGGTGTATGCTACAAATTTATGACTAAAGAATTAAAAAATGAAAACTTTACTTGTATCTTATGCAATAAGTATATTAATTAAGTACCTATTTTATAATTACAAACTAATAAAGTACAAAATAAAAACTAATATGAAATAAAGATAAACAAACTAATACAATACCTATTGTAAGTAATGAAAGGTTGGTTATATAAGTTGGGTGTAATTTATAAATTACACGTAGAGTAAAATGGAATCTATTACCTAACATAAAATTGGGTACCTATGTAACTAAGTCATATCTTTAAAAGTGGGAATTAACTAGGTAGGTAGTAAAAATGTTTAAATTAAAAAAAAAAATTAATTGTTTTAAAATTAACTTAAATTCAGCATGTAACCAGTTAAATTTATTATTTATTAACTATCAACTTTTGACTTAGAACAATCTTGTGTTCACTTAACTTAGGTTATCTTGAGTTAATTATATTCATTTACATGCCCAAAATTGCAAATCTTAGTGTTAACTCCACCATTGACGGTCCTCAGTCCGTATGAAAAAGGAGGAAGGGCGCTTTAAAGACATTTTTCTTTTTTAATTGAAGTATTAAAAATTAATCATGCCTCTCTTGGTTTTAAAGTAATGTATTATTCTTTTAAATGGTTTTTAAATCTTAATATTATTTTCTATATTGGGTTTTTTTTTATTTTGTAGGATATACCATACTGCCATTGTCCAACTGTGAAGAAGTAGGTAGCCAATTTTAATAGTGCAGATCTTCGAAGACCAGGATGTGTAGATGTGTATTGGAAAATGGCAAAATAAACATAGTTCAGACTTCAGAAATTTAGTTAGAAATGATTTATGGAAATTGGATTCATTAATCTTTGGACATTCAAAGTAACTTTATGATAAACATTAGTAAAACCCTATTAAATGCATTTTTTTAATTTTGTAGACTATACCATACTA